TTTAGTATAAAAGATTTATGATGAACAATCAATATTTTATTCTAGAACATTTCATAATCTGCTATATAAAATACAGTTATGGGTTCATATATCTCACACTTGCCACCAATATACATGTACATTTAAGTCTTTCGTGGTCTGCTTTGTATTTGGACATTGCCTTCGGACAGTTGTTCCCTTGGAAGTTTAATTGCCCCTTTTTGCAGTGGCAGACATTTGCCCCCTCATATCATTGAAAGGGCCGGACATTTTCCCCCTCCCTGTTTTAAAAATGTTAAAATATTTTATGGTTTAATTGTTTGTTACCAAAATTCATCGCGTATTGTCGAAATTGTATTGTGCTTAAATACACAAAAACTCTCACGCAAAATTTTTGAAAGTCAAAATAACGAGCGAGCCTCTGGCGAGCATAATAATATTATTTTATTCAACGAGTGCAATAAATTCAGAAATGAACTTACACGAATTTAATATTCTATTTATCAACATACCAAAAATAAATACAGTTTAAAGTGAAATAAGAGTCATTTTTCATTGACGCGCATATAGTATAACGCCAAACATTTAGCGCGTCTTTACACTATGTTTGTATAACGCTAATGACGTCACGTCAAAATATATGCACGGCCGTGCAATACCATATTTACGGAGTCGCAAAATCGGCACGGGTGTGTGATAAACTATAATATTTCCATTGGCATATAAAAAATCTATACACGAGATGACAAGTGACAAGTTACAACAGCAAAAAAAACAGGGGGGGGGGGGGGGGCAACTGTCCGGCGCAAATGTCATAGAATCTGCATTGTCTGATACGAAATACTATCAACATAATTATTCACTCTTTAACATACCTTCTATTACAGATGTATTCACTTTATTATTGACAAATTGCACATTTAGCTTTTTTTATTACTATTTTATAGGGAAAGGCAAAATTAAATGCAAATAGATATTGCATTTAAGCAGAACGTTGATAAAAGCTTACCTGTATATTAGGGCTGTAACGGTTTACCGGTTCACCGATATATTGCGGTGCAGGATAAAAAAATATTGCACCGCGGTTCACATTTAGTTGTACCGGTTTTATTAAGTAATAACAGTGTTCCATAATATCCTCTATAAATAAAAGAAAGTCTTCCATAATTTTATTGATAAAATGAAAATGTCCTAGGCACAAAAGAAAATAACAAACCGAAAGTAGGAAGCGTGTAAAAAACGGTGTTAGTATAAAAAATACACGGTGCGCGGGTAGACAAATGCTTGAATAAACGAATCAAAGCGCTTCGGTGATAAAGCTATGATTAACTATGGCAGACGAAAATAATTATGATTTGATTAAAAATCCAAAAGGAAAGAGTGCCGTTTGGCAGTTCTTTTCAATTAAAAGGAAAAGAGAGACACATGAAATTATCGAAAATACCCGCGTTTTGTGATCGATGCGGTGTAGCAGTCAAATGTGGTGGGGGTACAACAAATTTACGAACGCACTTGGAAAGGCATCACAAAATGATAAAATTATCGGCTCAAAGTTCTGTTAACATGTCATCTGCAGTTACAACATCAGCTGGGAGTCAACAACCAACTGTTATGGAACTTTTCAATAAAAGGCAACAATACAAACCAAATTCTGAGAGATCGAGGTTGATTTCGTCAAAAATAGCAAATTTTATGATAAAAGATCTGAGGCCTTTTAGCGTTGTAAGCAATGAAGGGTTTCGTGACCTCATAAATATATTAGATCCTAATTATGTTATCCCTTCAAAAGACTTATTTTTCAACAAACTTTGATACCAGAATTATATCAGAGTGTGAAATCCAAGGTCGTCGAGAGTTTGTCAAAATCACACACAGTAGCCTTGACAACTGACGGCTGGACAAGTCGGGCTACAGAGTCCTACATTACAATCACATCATGCCATATAAATAATGACTGGGAACTAATAAGTCATGTTCTTCAGACCAGAGCAATGCCATGCAGTCATACAGCAGAAAAATGTTGCACAGGTTATCAGAGAAGCTATAACAGAGTGGAAATTACCACAGAATCCACCACTTGTAACCGACAATGCAGCAAATATGCTGGCTGCAGCACGATTACTTGGCAGTCAACCACACCTGGGTTGTTTATGCACACACCTTAAATCTTGCAGTACAGAAGGGTCTTGCTTTAAATAGTGTGTCTCGTTTACTTTTGGCAGAATCAGGAGGGTTGTCTCTTACTTCCATAGAAGTACAACAGCAGCTGCAATATTGCGTGACAAGATTAAGCTTTTGGGCTTGCGACAAGTAAAGCTAATACAAGACGTATGTACCCGATGGAATTCAGCTGTTGACATGGTTGAAAGGTTTCTTGAACTTCAACCAGCCATTTACACAGCCCTTATGAGTAAAGATATTCGTGCAAAGGAAGTTGACATAGCTACTTTAAGTGAGGTTGATATCGGTCTTGCGGAAAACATAATGTCAGTGCTGATTCCAATTCGCACAGTGTCAACAGCCCTTTGCTCTGAATCTATGCCAACAGCTTCTCTGATACTGCCTCTTCAGAAAAAGCTTATCAAGGGGCTTTCAGTCAAAGATGATGATATGCAAAGCCATCTCACAACTGAAAACTGCAATATCACAGAACCTTCAACCAAGGTATTGTATAATTTATTCATGTGTCATATACATGAATGACTTAAATTAGAGGTTGATGATTTAATAAGTGAGTTTGATTAAGTTTTAACGTGCATATTATTTAACATAAAAGAAATGGAACAATTATTTGAGATCTTATACAGTAACAACATTTCCCTCATTTCTCATTTGTAAAATATTTTTAACATTGTAAGTTTGTTGGTGAAAATGTATTGATTTTTTCTCTAAATATTCTACAGGTACTCTGATCTTCTACCATACCTTGAATGCACAACACTACTTGATCCAAGGTTCAAGACATCCTGCTTCTCAGAGGAAGATGCTTTTTCCAATAACAAACAGAGTAATCTCTGAGGCTGCTTCCACACAGAAGGTTCTAGTTAAACAGGAATCTGACACCAGTCCTATATCTGATATGGAGACAACAGGGGCACAGTCTGAACCAGCATTACCACAGCTTGAGCTAGGTAATTTATAATTGTTGTAAATCATAGACCATTGAAATCATTCAAATCAATCAAATCATTGTATGGAATATAGCATTTGCCAGTTATGGGCAAATGCAAAAATACTTACTTGATGTCATGTGTTTTCAGTTTCTTTTTCATGTACATAATCTCACTAATCTGTTTAATCATGAATGTACTTTCGTTTGGTAAAGTGCTAAGTAGGCTATTTCATAATAATTCTCTTTTTTTCAGATTCTTTACTGTGTTGTTAATATATTTTTCAGAAGGAGGTGTTGAGACCAGCAGTCAGAAAGTAGAACCTCAGCAGTCAGGATTAGCATTACTTCTTGAAGATGTAATCATTGTAAAAACTGTACAGGGAACCAAAACTAAAATGGATCAAGCAAGGGAGCAAATGGATGCCTACCTACAAATGGAAACCCTGAGTTTAGGTGCTAACCCATTAGTCTGGTGGAAGGACAATGAATGGAAATTGCCTCTTCTCGCTAGTTTAGCAAGAAAGTACTTATGTGTTCCTGCAACAAGTGTCCCTTCAGAAAGGGTGTTTAGTACTGCAGGTGATATCTTGTCTGCACAACGTGCTTCACTGGATGCTGACAAAGTAGACATGTTAAATTTTTCTTAAGAAAAAACATGAATTAATTGCAACTGTCACTTAACCCCTTTGATGAAACTGTGTTAAGGAAATCATTACGATATAGTTTTTGATTGTCAGTGACTTAATGAAAAGTGTTTCAAGTTTTATTTTGCTGTTAATTTTTTCTCAATAGTTGATGCTTAAATAGTTAAAACAGTTTTAAAGTTTTGTTAAAGGAAAGTATCCACTAATTATGTTTTTGCGAGAGATATAGAGATATATATAATATTTGTTGAAATAATATAACTCTCTTTTTCTGAATTATTTCCCAGTACCTTACATTAATAACAATACGTATCGCAATATATTGCAATACGGATGTGGCGTATTGCAATATATTGCAATACGCTTTTTACCGTTTTGTTACAGCCCTACTGTATATGCGTTGTGTTAAAGCATTACATCAAATGTTTCGGACCAGCCATTGCTCAAGCCAATATAGTTTTACGGTGTGTAAGTTGGATATCGGCCTCGTACATCGATCTTTCTGTTTAGGAAAGACCTCGTACTCGGTCGATATCCTATACGTAAAATTTAAATGCGGTGTGGACAATCCCGATTTCATCTTCGTGATTTCACAATTATTTTAACTTTCACGATTTTAACTTCACAGATTCACGATTTTATTATAATTAATTCATGTTTTGAACATCACAATTTCAACTTTATCATTTTCTCATGTTTGACTTATCATTATAAAATATTATAATGATAATGAAAAGGAAATTACAAAATAACATGATTCACCATAGATGCAAAATGCAAAACAGTACTATCTAATTGTCAATCGCAATTGTAAAGTATTCGCTATTTATCTGCGGTTGTATGCTAAAAAGCAAACCAAGCGGTATTGAGCTAGAATAGCGCGTCTGCATGTTACAGGTGGATGTCTTACACGTTCTGTGCACTGATGATATTATTTGTACGCAATTGACGCGTTAATATTTGTTTGTTTGTTTGCTTCAGTTTACGCCTTTTCTCAACAGTATTTCAGTCATATAGGCGGAACGCGTTAATAACTCCAGGAAATTTTGCATTGTGTTAATTGTCAAATGTCTGACAAATATATGATCAGACTATTTCTTTACTCTTACAAGAAAATAGGCTATTTAGAAGTAAACTTTCATTTGCTATTTCTATATACAGAATCCGTATTTGCACGAATACGGAATTTCGTATTTTAGTTATATACGGACTTGTTATAAAAATTCCGTATATTAGTAAAATACGGACTTCGTACATCAAAGTTCCCATATATTACGAGTGTACGGAGTTCGTATACTAGTCATATACGGACTGATATAATATACGGTCCCGTACATCTCCGTATTTCAAGTTTCCCGTATTCTTACACGTATATCAATGATATGCGGAATTCCGTACACTTCCGTATATCCATGTCTTTTTCGCAGTGTGTTAAACTCATGGTTATCGCATGTTTTTCAAATGAATAAGTTTTAATATGTTAAATATTTGTGCACTTTCATGTGTTTTTCATATAATAAATTTATGTATCATATATTCTGCAAGCTTTACACCTTGAACAGTCTCAATTAGATAGATTATTGGTTCATGTATCTATGTGCAACTTGTAAATGTAGTAAATCTATGGAAAAAAGATGCCTTCACTTCCAATACTTCTCATCAAGTTGAAAAAAATAACAATAAAATACCTTTATAATAAACAAATTATAAATGATAAATATCTTTTTAGAGGGACAGCTGATCATTTTTTAAATTAAGGGAAGAACTGTCAGGGGAAGAAAAGGTTTATTGGCGAATCGTCAGGGTGATGAACTGGTTAGAGAAAGAAAAGTCTGTCACTCATTTGTATTCATGATTTTTGTTCTTCCTTTTGTATATGTTACTCCCCGTTCACACAGAGCTGCGACTTTAGGACGAAAATGCCGATCAAGCCACGATCTGAAAAAGTATTGGATCGGGGCCGATCGGGGGCGATTGGCGTAAAAAATGAGCAATTTGGCAAATTTTGGTCTTCATTACGACTGTACTACAATATTCCCACGTCCAACGCGCTGCTGACAAGCTTCTACTACGATATTACGCTGACCAGCGGCCACGTTTACTGCGTTTATACTACGCTGCCGCTACGACATTCAAGCTAGCACTACGACGCTACGCAGACCTAGAAAACTGTTCGACGATATCGCTACGACGGTGCCGATCATATCACGCTTGTAGTACGCTTCTGGTACGATTTTGGAGATGATATATATATTTTGGGTTTCAAAAATTATTTTTCATTTATTTCCAAACTTCAAACATGAACGGACGTATTAATGACGATCTGATTCATCTGGCTTTACTTCAGCAAGAACAAATATTGGTTGATATTGAAATTGCACAGATTTGTAACAGGCGGAGGCGCAAAAGGAGGCCAAGAAGATACTGGGTACAGCCACGGCTATCTGCAGATAGGGGGCTCCAGTTTGGACAATATGATACACTGATGAGAGAACTCCGAATGGAAGACACTAATTCCTTCTTCATCTTTTTGAGAATGGAACCAGCGTTGTTCGATGAACTGCTCGAGAGAGTTGGCCCTAGGATTCAGAAGAAAGATACAGGCTGGAGAAAAGCGCTAGAACCAGGCATCAAGCTCGCCATTACTATCAGACATCTTGCTTCAGGAGATAAGTACCCTAGTCTCATGTATAACTTCAGAGTTGCTAGGAATACGATAGCGTGTCTCATACCTGAGGCCATTTGTGAGGAATTTAAAGATGAAGTGATAAAGTGTCCTACAACCTGATAAATGGTCTCTCATAGCAGACCAGTTCAAGAACAGATGGAATGTTCCACATGCATGCGGTGCACTAGATGGCAAACACGTGGCCATCAGATGTCCCCAAACAGTGGCTCGCTTTACCACAATTGCAAGCACTTCTTTTCCGTAGTGCTACTAGCACTGGCAGATGCGGATTACAAATGTCTATGGATCGACTGCGGATGTCTTGGTTCTTGCTTCATTCTGGGAGATGATGCATTTGGGTTGAGGTCATATTTGATGAAACCTTATTCGCAAAAAGGTCTAACCAGAGAGCACTAAATCACAAACTACAGAATATCAAGGGGTCGCCGTGTGATTGAAAATGCTTTTGGTATTTTGGCACAAAGATGGCAGGTATTACTCACCACTATGCAGCAATTCCCAGCAGTGATACAAGACATCATAGAGAGTTGTGTATGCCTTCATTACCTCATGAGATTGCGCTTCCCGGTGTTACAAAATGCCCAACTTGACCAAGAGGATGATGATCACTATCCAGAACCTGGTGCCTGGAGACAAGATGCTAACATGCACGAGGTACAGATGCCAAGAGGACCAAACAGGGACAACATCGCTGGGAAAAGACAGAGGGAACTACTTAAACTATTTTATAACAGCCAGGTAGGATCGGTACAATGACAGGAAAGAATGATTCCTCACTAGTCTGTGTTATTATGTACAATGTTGTACATTTAAAGCATTATATGTGCGGTCTAAACAAGTAATAACAAATGGAATAACGTTTTACAATTACTGTTTGCGAGTTCAGATTTTGTGAAAGGATTGTTTTGAATATGAATGTTTTACGTGCTGCGATTTTGGATTAAATTCAGATTGTGCAAATGTCTCTGCAGTTATTTTTGAATTATAGTCAGGTCTAGTATGTATGTTTTTTGCAGAAGGAATTAAGGTGTTTTATGCAATGTTATCTACATAAGAAGTAATCTTGACAGCTTTTGACAAAAGTATAATACCGTTGTATAGTGACAGAGTCTAAACAATAGAGCATCAAATTATGTTTTAGAATTATGTTATTTTTACCATATTAGGAGTTACACTCCATGCGTGAGTCTTTTAGTAAAACAGTACCAAAGTAAATTCAGGTAAAGTATGGAAAACATCAAAGAAATGTAGCCGCACAAAGATTATTGGCAAATCAACGTGCCTGAGTTTAAGGAGTAATAAATGATATACTGACAAAAGCAATTGGTTATATTAGTTTTAGACATATACTTCTTGTATAAAATATTAACATAGATTTTTTATTACAAGAACTAAGACTTATTCTTAAAACATGTACACATATATACATACGCATGTACACACGCACGCAAACAGACAGACAGACATAACCACTAAATTTTGATTGAAAACCAAACAGTAATACAATCGAGTTTATACAAGTATTAACTTTATAAATGCAAATTTTGAACTAAAGGTTTGCAAAATTGTACATACAAAACAGAATGCATCAACAATCTAACTGATCTGATTTTGGAAACACAATGAACTACTATTATCAATTAAGTGCATGTTTGACAAGACTTCAAAATGACAATAAGAAGTTTGACTGCTGCAAAGAAAAATGATATCGCTAGGACTGCATGTGTCTATGTATCGTATTATTTAGCGTTTACTGCTTCTGGAGTCCATGTTGTCCGTCATCCATATCTAACAGTGAGCTCAGGCCTGCAAACACCATACTTGATCCCTTTTGTGACTGTCTACGGGTACAAACTTGCTTGTCTGACTGCTGAAACTGCTGCTGCTGCACCCAATCACGTTCCTGAGATCCCCACACAGACGTTGTATTGACGACTTGGGATTGCCATTGTGAAGGATTAGGCTGCCATTATATGAAACAGGGATCACTATCCTTATTTGAGGAAAGGCCAGGTCTAGAGTGTACCTCTTGTTGTTGCTGCTCCTGCATGTCAGTGAAGCGGCTGACCAATTGTTGTACGTCAGTCTGGAAGCGGCGACAAAGAGTCTTATTAAGGCCTGCAACGGCTTGCTTAATCCAGTCCAGGAAGGCATCACGCTCAGTCGGTTCTGGTGTATTCTTGATGCGACCAAGCAACTCTCGCTGCATGTTAATGAGCTGTTCCCTACTACTTGCCAGGTCTGCCAAAATTGCATCATCGGATGACCGGTTTTGAGTTCGGGAGGCTCTTGAATACGTGGATGTTGATGATACACTTGCCGAAGTGGATACCGTTGTAGCGGAATCCTCGAGGGTGTCGTCAAAGGAGAGAGCGCCTGTGCCTACGGTATCAGCTGGGGCATCAGCAGAGTCTGATGTCATAGTATCCTCAGGGGTTTTTGGGGCCAACTTCGCCGTCATCTGTTACGAAAATTAGTGTGAATTAATGCATTATCAACATTTTTATGTGCAATGAATATTAACATAGAAAACAGCATTGTGCTATTGTACTGGCTACCATTAAAACAATAACGCCATCTTAATATGTAACTTGAATCATTATCAATTGGCGGCTGATCGGATTCCAGTCGCTTGGAAATTAGTTTTTTCCAAAGGCATCAACACTCAAACATATGACATAATATCACCCTATAATGAATGTTTGGTTATATATTTACACTAACAGCGGTGCGCTTTTTGACTTCAATGATATGGGGCTGCAGGAAACCAAACTCACGCAGGATCCAACTGTCCCTTTCTGTCAGTTCCTCATCTGGAGCACCGGATCGTGTTTTCTTGAGCCTCACATACCTTCTCCGAATGTTACTGTACCAGGTTTTGATGACGTCAACATCTTTACCAAGCAGATTGGCCTGTTCCCTCCAGCATGTCCAGAGATATTCTTTTTTCTGGGTTTCTTTATACCGCTTTAGTTTTTTGTTGTAAAGGATTGAATGCGCGCTAAGCCATTCAACCATAGTCTGTTCCTGGTCCTCGGTAAGGTCTGTCAGAATTTTCCTGCGTTTCTGCTGGGGAACATTTGGAACTTCTTCTACATCTGATTGAGGCTCAATAGCGGGGTCATCAGGCTGAGGATTTTCCGCGGATGGAAGGGCTTCAGCTTCTACTGACGAAGGCCCGTCATGTTTATTCCCGACCTCGGGATTTTCTGCTGCAGGATTTTCGAGTCTCAGAGTTTGCAACCACAGTTTTTTTCACGACCTTTACCACGTGGTTTACGGGGCATTTTAATGTTTTTTTTCAAACTGATGCAAGATGTGCTGTGTTCGAAGTCTCAGCTGCAAATGATCGTCAAGTAAAGTGCCGCCCTATATATGTAGTTGGCAGATTATGATTGGTCAAATAGCAGCGCTATAAAAACAAACTGCAACCTGATAGGTCGTGGTATGATCGTCGTAAGGTCATGGTGTTCTTCGTAGGATCGTCATGAACGTAGAGAGATCGTAGTGGGAACGTAGTAAGAACATAGTGGGAACGTTGTTCCCGACTGTACTACGCCTTTACTGCGCTTTTACTACGATCATGAAGAACTATCCACGATGCTTCCGCGCTGCTTGTACGATTACGGCGCTTCTACCACGCTCTTTTTACGACTTTACCCCGTTTACTTAATAAAACTAACTTACTTAGTGTTTAACCTCATTTGGCCAAGCTGGAAGGCCTCAAGTCTATAAAAAGTTGTTTACAATACAATAGGTGGAGTTAAGGGAGCACAATTTCATCTTCATATTACTTCATATTACACATTACTGCATATAACATATTATTACATATTACACATCACTACATTACTACATATGACATATTACTTTATTTTACATATAACTACATTATGACAGTTTACTACAAAATACTTCATATTACACATTACTACATATTACAATTTACTGCATATTACATATTACAACATATTACTACATATTATTACATATTTCAGCTCCGGAAGAGACATGTGTAACTGATTGTGTATGTCCATGTGGCTGGGTAAATCCTCCAAAGAACTATACAGACGAAGAGTTGACGGCAAAGGTTACCGCAATACAGGAGAAACTTAAAGTTAGCAAAGAATCACTTAGTTCTACGGTAAGCTATACAATGACTTTGGTTTGTTTTGTATGGATTTACGGCGCACTAACACAATTTAGGTCACATGGCACCGAAACAGGGAAGATAATTTTGGCTAACCTCAGTTGTTACAAACTTAAAGTAACACCAGGGCTCAAAACTTCCTCACCCACTGGAGCTAAGATATGCATAGGTAATTTGAACCCATTTAGTCATCTTTTACAATCACACAGGGATAAACGGTGGCTGCAATTCCAATGCCTCAAACCTTAAAGCCAATCCCTGAGCCACAAGATGGAATGACTTTGATAGTTTCTTTTCAAATGTATAGATAGAATAATTATTTGTTCGTTTAAAGAAACCAGGTACAGTATGTTCATAATTCAGTGTTTTAAGACGTTTAGCTGTCAGTTGCTTGTCATCGTTAAAGTCTTGTCAAGTACAACATTTCTCTTTCATCCAAGTTACTCAAATTGGTGAAGATAGACAAGTACCTTTTTGGCAAACAAATGTTTCAAATACACTTTAGATTTCGTACCTTTGCATATCTTTGGTATTTGAGCTTAATGTTTAAACAAAATGTTCAAACTCTACTTTTGTAAAACCACAGGTATCCATGTTAAGATTAATGCATAAAGCGTCCTGTTCCAATTATATTATATATTCAAATTTAATCGAAGAAGTAACAGGGAACGCTCTTACGGTACCTTAAAGCTTTAAAAATCTTCGTGACAAAATCCTTAAATCTTGAGTTTAAGCATATGCCGCTTTTCTGGAATGACAATAACGTGTCACATTGAAAGTTCCATGATAACCGCCTTATGAAAACATTTGCGGATAATTCAAAATTAAAAAAAAAGCAGTTAATGTTAAATGCTGAATTCTGCTTAAGCCGAAGCTAGGGGGCAAAGACGGTAGCTTTCAATTACTACTACCGTCCATTAACAGGCTCAATCAAACCTTATTTGCAATATTTTCAATTTCGCCACGTTGGAATTGCTTTTGGGATTCTGTTTCCCTCTATTTTAGACATTCCGATGATAGTCTCAGAGTATGAATCTTGTGTAAAAGTTTTCCCGAGAAAAGAGTTTTTTGGTTAATAGCCATTTTAACGATGCGGTCCGTTGCTATGAAAAAACGACCGGACTTAGAATTTTCTCGCGTATGCGCAATCTGCGTAGGGCAAAAAAATGCACCGCCCTACATAGAAATATAGTAGAAGTTCATAGACAATTCCGAGTTAGTTCAAGGTAAACGGTAAAAAAATATCTTAAATAGCTTTTAACAAATAAAGAAAAGATGACTTTATACTTTGTGACGAAGAATGCCATAAAAAGGCATGGAAAAGATACTTGTTTAAGAATTTACGATCATGGACCTGACACTGAGATAATTTTTAAAGAAGATGTGGAAATATATATATTAGCAAATGAAAAGTCAAAGTATTTGCTGTCAGTTCATATAAAATCAAAAGAAATTTTATAACATAAAATCGAGATTAATTATCATTCTGAAAAAATATCAGAGCAGGTAATAATGCATTTTTAATGTTCAATATACCTGATTATATCCTTTATCCAATTTGCCTGTGATGCAAACAGAAAAATTTAAATCACATAAATAGATTTTAAATAATTAATTTCTTTTTTTAAAATCTTGAGAAGTTAAGATGGGTTGTTTGGAAAAGATATAACACATATTTTATTCGCTTCTTCGTAGTACATGTTATTTTTAATAATGCACGATGCACGTCACACAATATTTCTCTTCTCAAAATCCATACGTCCCGGTTGAATGAACAACCGTTCGCGTGACAATCTGTTATACACTTCAAGTTATTCAAAGGAAGCGTACAATACAAATTGTGTAATACTATGTAATACAGGGGTTATAAAATTTTATTTTTAACACCCTGCTGTTTAAATTTAAATTACTGATTGAAAAATTAATGATACTTTAAACAAACGACATGTGTGTGCCTTTTTGACCATTGAATTATAAGTCCCGCACATTTTCGTAGATCTGTTAAAAATGAATTCACGTTATCAATACTTACCGCCTTAAGACATTCCAAATTAATATTTTTTGGGTGACATAACCATGATAACATAAAATCGCATCTATTTAAGCCTTAAAGTATGATAAACTGTAGGCATCGTTATTGCGTTTTTACCCCTACGCAGAGTGCGCATGCGCGAAAGGCAACATTCGTTGCTATGGAAAATCGTATAGTAAAAAGGTCTATAATAAATTACCTTAAAACAGATTTGAGAATCTTCTCGTCAGTCTTGTGTCTACTATTCTGTGTGGTACATATCAAATCTATGGTTACGCAATGAGGTTTATTTGATAAGCATAGAAACTTTAAAGATATTCTTTTCAGTGTCTTCAATATGTTCATTTCTGCCATGTATTTTCCTCAGCTTCGTGCAAAGAGCAGCGCAAAAGACGATAGATCGGAAGCCGCGGCTGTTGGAATTGTGGGTGTTGTATTCCTTGTGTCACTAGTTGGCGCTATTTTCCTCCTTGATCTGACAACAATTGCGCGTGACGTCAGAATGTTGTTGGGGAACCTAAGGCAGGTGTACCAGCCGTGATTTGAAGAAGTGAAGAAATCCACAATTTGATGACACCGTATTCTTTTTATTCAGATTAAGCACTTCCCGCTGCTGATGCACCTGCAGATATTTTACTTATATTTGACATGACGTCATGACTTGTATTGCTGACATCAAGTGACACCATAAGCTGTGGTGTTGTTGTCGTCGTTTTTTTTTTTAACAATTATTGTTAAAAATTGTTTTCTTTATTTTTTCATTGAAAGTGTTTGACTCGAAAAATAATAAAAATTGTAGCAAAAGTACTTTACGTCCACCAAACCAGTGTTAAAAAGGTCAAATCGTTTTAAGCAATCGTGAGACTAGGTAGAAAGAGAAAAATGTAAAAAAAGTAACTTGACTGTTTAACATTACTGAGGTCATTTTTATATTTTCCAATGAATAAAAGAAAAGAAAAAAAGAAGATAATTAACGTGACTAACGGACACTTCTATAAATATCGTTCAGTAAGTATCGGTAACGATTAATTCTTAAAAGTTTTTACCATGTAGATATTTTTTGTATTGTATTATAAACAATTTTTCACATGAATTATTGGTCAATCACCATTATTATTATTGCCATTTTTTTTTTAAAGTTTATTATTAATTCAAATAAATTGACAGCAAAACACGGAGCATAATGTCACAAATGAAAGGCATTTATGGTGCTGTTAATTATACATTTATGTTAGAATTATTTGATCTTTTTATCAACTGATTAGGAAAACTATTTAAACCATGATTTGTTTCTTTTTACAAATATTGTTGTCAGTTTTATCAACCTACTTGTAGTTTTTTCTAAGGCTAATTCAAATTATTAAAAAATGAAATTTAAAAATACTGTAGCAAACTACTTTTTGTGCCTGAAATCTAAGCCAAGAAGTCAGTCTACGTGTGGCCACTACATAAAATTTTCACGCATAAATTCAGTATTGTAGGACGTATTTCAGAAGAAATTTACGTATTTATCTCCCTTTAATTAAACACTCACGAATGTGCAACTGTTATGATAAAAGAGTGGCGTATCTTTATACCATTATGTTTTATAAATATGGCATGCGTATGTAAATGAAAATTGTTTTTACATAATGGTAACATAATTATTAGTTAAAGCGGCCTTCAACTTTTCTAAAGGTTAAATTTGTTATTTTTTAGATAAATCGTTTCATATGATTTCGAATCAAAAGAATAAATGTTGAAAATGAAATTTGCCGCCGATAAAATACATAAACAATAAGGAAACCCTTCGGTACCTATAATCTACCGGTCCGCACTCTATATGTAAGTAAGTAAGGTGAACGATTCGTTTCCTGATTTTTCTATTTTTAGAAACGGAAGTCACTCACACGCTTAAAATAACTCTCCTGTCGCTGTGTCACAGGGATATGGTGCATCTTTCAAGATAAAATTACTGTACGTAGCTTGAAATAACAAAGAATTATTTTACCAACACAAAATAAAAGCTGAAGGCCGCTTTAACACCATCCATTGTTTTAAATATAGATTAAAGTATATGAGTTTAGTTTTAAATGATTTTTAGACATTTTATGAGATGTAAATAATTTTTTTTATATAAAATTACTGAACTGCACGTTATGCCTCAGAAATCCTTATTATAAAGTCTTTAGAAACATATGTTTAATAATGTTTAAATAATGGATTTAGACCACGTTGGATGTTTTACAACTGAAAAAAGCAGCACTGAACAAGCAGTTATGCATGTAAAATGTAAATCAAGTAGTATTAAATTAACATGCAGACAAAATACTTATTCACTATATTTATTCCAGTTGCCAACAGAAATAAAGACGCAAAAAATAGTTTATGTATATATAGCAAATGGATGTGTTTTTTGGTGAGCTGTAACAAGATTAAAAAAAACATAATTTAAGAAATAAAAATAATAAGATTTCTGGGACATAATGGGCCTTTAAGAGAAAGTGTGTATAAGTTGTAAGAAATTGTTGCTTTTTTATTTCAAACTTTCAGAAATTGTACAGACATGATGTGATTAATAAACTGTTTCCTAACAACATGTAAGAAAAAATATAGAACTGCAGTAAAATAATCCCATTGAGATAAATTAATGTAGGATGTCGGAACGTCGGTGGTTCTACTCAGGTACCCGTTCGTGCCTGAAATAAAGCCCGGAAGGGCACCTGAGGTCTTCCCCCACCAGTAAAGCTGGAACGTCGCGATATGACCTATACTGTGTCGATGTGACGTTAAACCCAAAACAAACAAACAAACAAATGTAGGATGTTTTTTTATCCAATCACTAAGATTAATCCTAAACATTTGTGTAATATAATTATGTCCCCCTTTAAACTTAGAACAGGCCATTCAACTTTTAAGAGATTTTGATACATCAAAATAAAGGGATAAACAAATAAATATTATATAAATAAATAAATAAATAAATAGATAAATAAATAAAAGAGCTAGCATCAGTTTAGAGCCTGGTTACACTGTACAGATGTGCAAGCTGGCCTTGCTCTATACTGGTGGCATATGTTTAAATCAGTTTGGTTCCAGCAAAGATCGGGTTCATTGTGAAAAACGTGTATCATTCTCGCTTCTTATGGTAGATAATATCCTAGCGTATTGTGAACAAAGCATTGATATTAAAATTAACGATGAAAAATATAATTATATATTTTATACCAGATTATGTTAACGGAATGTCCTTAAAACCTGATAATGGTGATGAATTTGAACGAATCTGATACATTTAAATGTTTTATTTATTAAAAGCTTAAGTATATATTTTAATTTTTTAAATGTATGTTATCTCATATTCGTCTTGTATTTTCATCATCATTATCATCATTAACAAACAAACATGCATAGCAGTGACGAAGATTTGAATTACATTCCTCATTTCAATGCAGCATAACATTGTTTGAACTTTTTTCAATCTTTTCATTATTTGTAGGTTAATATTAAGTAAAACTATGAAACAATATGGTAATAAGTGTTGTTTGTGCGCATTGACCTGCGACATGTGGATAACAATTTGTTAAACACCAAAATAATAGTAAATATACTGGATTTTCAAGTTAGCGTCCCGGATAAGACACAGCTTCACAGCGTTTGACAGTTTTCATTGTATATTTCATTTTCTGGAATAACATAAGGTTATAATTGATAAGCCCAAATATATTTTTTTATTACATGCTTTTCGGTGGTTTATAGAAATATATCAGTGATATAAAACTGGTAATTTCACTGTTTGAAACAGTGAAATTACCACTTTGATAATTTCACTGTTTTGAATTTAAGCCCCTTACGTTGTTTCAGTAAAATAGCAGCGTGCACAGTACTGGGTACCAACTTAATGACGTGACGTCGTAAATGACGTCACGTTGCATCATTATTTGGCGCGCTTTTCATTAATTATTAGATTTATTGTCTTTTTAAAACGTTTCTTTGCATGTAATAAAAAGAAAATTTGTTTAGTTTAGTGTAAGATTGAAATATATTTCACCTTGTGAACACCAAAAGTTCATATTTCACTCGTGGCTGCGCCACTCGTGAAATATACCTTTTGGTGCTCACTCGGTGAAATATATTCCGATCTTACACTGAACTAAACAAATATCCTCTATACATTTAATGTATGCATACAATGTTACCCTCGCAATGTTCACGTGACTGATTATTATTATTCATTATTACAAATGTATTTGTTTCATGTTTATGTGTTGCAAATATGCAAACTGGGATAAATATTCCATAAACTTGAAATTTGTTTCTGCATGACCGAGTTTTACTAGCCGCTTCTGCTTCGGCGTCTTGTCTGGTCGTTGACAACATATTACTAGATGTAAATACTTCAGTAATTACTTATATAACTATACAAACCAATACATTCGACTTCAATATTTTGACTAACAGATTAATATAGGTTCAGTAATACATACATGCATGTATGATAAGATTTTTCCTTAAATGTCATAAGGAATCATGTTTAACAATAACAGTTGGTCATGAAATTAATCGTTGGCGTACCGACCCAAAAACAAATGTATAGAATTCATTTACAGGCAATGCGTACGTACGCTTAAGTAAGGAACGCTTAAAAACTGTTTTATGTTGCTTATCCTTTTTGCCTATTTTAAGGAAACACCATAAGAGTTACTATAAACTCAGCAGTAATAAAAAAAAATTATTTAGACTGAAGATGTACAGAACTTACAAAATAAACCTTGATTTAAAGATAAAAAATGATACAATCGGTTGCTTAAACTTTTGTCTTGTATAACTGTTTCAAACCGTTTTGTAATTAAGAGAATATGTTTGACGTTTTGGAAATGACTTGTCCAGTCATTATATTAAAGTGATTCTATGTTGCAAACAATGTTTATATTGTTATTTACAATCATTGAATATGGTATTAATTGAAAATAATCCTGTAATGTTTTAAACATGACATTTTACATTCAATTTGATGAAGTCTGAAAATATTCTTTAAGAATGTACAGGTTTCAGATGGCTGGCTTAAGTTAATGAGTTTAGCCGAATATTTCCAAGTATTTTGTCGGAGTACTTAATTTTTATATCAACCAATAGTTAAACTTGGAAGTAACTCCGTCTGTGAGTTTTAAATATAGATTTACATATTAAGCGTTTGTTGGTAATCATGACAGTTAAACAAAGAATATCCTTATCATATCTTTTGTATATGTTATTGTTATCGAAATCATGTTTTGTGATTTATATTTATTATGTATTGATTGTTTATTACATTTTTATCTTATTGCTTTTGCTTAAAATAAATTGTTGTTGCATTAAAAATGTGTTGACTCTTTCTACTACCCTAACTAAAACAGAACACCCATCTCATTATACGAGGGACGGCCAGAAAATATCCGGACTTTTCATGCTCCTCTCTTTCCACGTGCAGCTATATACACACATTATATATTCGTGAAAACTACATTCATTCGCCAATAACGTGGTCAGTTTATTTTCAATGATAGTTGTGTATAAACAGTATTTTACCTTCTGATTTATGATAGGTGTTTCGTCTATCATGGACTCTTTGTTAGAGGAACAACGCTCTGTTATAAAGTTTCTGGTTGCAGAAGGTGAAAAGCCCTGCCACATCTTTCAGAGGCTTAGAAAAAGTATTCTGATAAATGTGTATCACGTTCAACCTTCTACAACTGGGTTTCACAGTTTCGTGAAGCCATAACAAGTGTTTGTGACAGGCCTAGGACTGGGCGGCCAGCTGAGGCGGTGACCCCAACAAAATCGTCGAGTAACTTTGGAGGAGGTAGCCAACAAGTTTAGCATCGGTAAGGCATCGGCACACAAGATTTTACACGAACACCTAGGCATGAGCAAGGTAAGTGCCAGGTGGTTGCCTAGACAGCTGTCCGCAGATCAAAAGGCAACCAGAGTAACCAATGCAAAAGAACATTTAAGTCGTTTTAATCGTAAAGGAGATAAGTTTTGGAACCGCATTATCACTGGAGATAAGATGTGGGTTCATTATTCCGAACCTGATACAAAAGCTCAGTCAAAGCAGTGGAAACGAGCTGGTTTCCCCACCTCCTAAAAAGTTTAAGCTGTCTCCTTCGGCTGGCAAAGTCATGCTTGTTGCCTTTTGGGATTCACGAGGAAAGATACTTATTCATTTCGTGCCAAAAGGTCAAACTGTCACCGCCAAGTACTATTCTGAAGTAATTCTGAAAAATCTCAGAGAAAAGCTGAAGCAAATGCGTCCCAGGTTAGCACAGAAAAATGTCCTTCTTCTTCACGATTACGCCTCCTCCCATACCGCCGCAGCTACAGTGGAGGTTATCAACTCTTACAAATGACAATTGTTGTCCCACCCTCCTTATAGCCCAGACCTCGCCCCCTGTGACTTTTATTTGTTTCCAGAACTGAAAAAATTGCTTGTTGGAAAGAAATATAAGACCAGCGCGGCTTTGATATCTGCTGTTACACAGTACTTAAAATAAAGGTCTACGTCATGGTTCACAGCGGGAATACAAAAGCTCCCACGAAGATGGCAAAAGTGCGTAGGCGTAGGTGGAGAATATTTTGAAAACGAGTAGAAAGATTTTTTTTAAATATTGAATGGTTTTCGAGAACGAGTCAAAAGTCCGGATATTTTCTGACTTCCCCTCGTATATGTTTGAAAGGTTTATTGGTAAAGGAGTGTACTTAGTGTTAGATGGGATGTGATAGGGGATAGATGTGGTTGTACGTTGTGTTAGAGGGGAGGTGCGTGGTGGCAGAGTGGGTGTACGTATTGGTAGAGGGGATGTGCGTTGGGGTAGAGGGATTGTGCGTGGTGGCAGAACGGTTGTACGTAGTGGTAGAGGGGATGTGCGTGGTGGCAAATGGGGTTTTACGTAGTGGCAGACGGGGTGTACGTAGTGGTAGAGGGGATGTGCGTGGTGGCAAATGGGGTTTCACGTAGTGGCAGACGGGGTGAACGTAGTGGTAGAGGGGATGTGTGTGGTGGCAGATGGGTTGTTACGTGGAAAGCGGGTGTTCGTAGTGGTAGAGGGGTTGTGCGTGGTGGCAGAGGGAATGTACGTAGTGGCAGACGGGATGTACGTAGTTGTAATGGGGATGTGTGTGCAGGTAGATGGGATATGCGTGAGGATAGATGGGATATGCGTGGGGGTAGAGGGGCTGTGCGTGGTGGCAGAGGGGATGAACGTTGTGGTAGAGAGATGAACGTAGTGGTAATGGTAATGTGGGTGGGGGTATGCGTGGAAGTAGAGAAATTTTGCGTTCGGGTAACTTGGGTATGCGTAGTGGTAGAGGGTCACAGCCCAACCTTTTTGAAATTGTTCAATATTCTTTCAGCCTACGTCTAGAACTTGTCGGGTCATAATTAGTACAGTGTGACCATATTTATACGGCACGGCAAAACCTTTGTTTCCCGAAATTACTGTATCCTCGGTTCCTATGAGAATCTTGCAGACCTATGAGTAGTTAGAAAAGCAAATTTGTTACTAAAATTGTAACTTACGTAACATATTGAACACAAAATGACTGAATGCAATTACCAATTGACTCTCATAACTCAAGGTCGCTTAACTCAAAATTCCGTGTAAGTCGAAGAATTCTAAAAGTCCCGTCGAAATTCATAGACAATATTCCGTTGGTTTCAGTTGTTTGTTGAAGATATATTAACAAGCTATGGGTATGAAATCATAAACAGATACATTGAACTGAGCTTTTATATTCGTTCTACGACTTTTGTGTATTCCTTAAGTAAATATGCGACACCATTTAATAAGCAATCAGTAATTTGTTCATGAAAAGTGAAATCAATATCTAAAACGGATGCTTCTTGAAGTTCAAATCAAACATGTTGAAAGCAGGTATTCATACGAGGTTTCCGCTGAAATTAAAACCAATAAATCAAACATAAAATCTTCTTGTAAAGGGAAACTAACTTTTGTTGAGGTAAGGCTTTACTTACTTATTTTTATTATTTTGTCTATATTTATATAATCCCAATATAATAAATGTTTTACTGTGGCACTGTTATATATTACTACTTACCATCGCTAAAATGTTTTTATGCGCAATAAGACAACAAGTTTGCTTCTTTAAAAAGAAGCCTGCGAGAGGTCTTTTTGCTGCTGTGGAAAAATTGTTCAATTCGAAAATATTTGGGGATATTTTTGCATAACAGACACAATGAATGTTTATAAATTACAATTATTAAACAAAATATAATTTATTATATAGTTTGTTTATAAAGTTTGTTTTACATTTCATCTTTTTTAATGTTTTAAGGGATTATATGCCGGAGAAATGGTTTTTTTTCTTGGCGCATTAGGGATACTTTTTCTACAAAAAAAAATTGTAAAATTACTTAATGTAAATTAAATGATATATATCATTTACATTTGTATTTTAAATTCAGTTCCCTTTGTAGAAAAAAAATATATATATTAAAAGTATTTTCAAAATAAAAGTTTCTTGTAAAGTTCAATAAGCAAATTTTCGGTCACTGTTTTGTTAAATATAAGGAAGCATTTCCTCTACATTTTCCAAAACGAGTATAAAGTATGTTAATCAAACAAGTTTACATAAAAAATGTTGATATCATTTGATTGGAATGAACAGTAAATACTGTTATATACTGTTATACTGTTATATACTGTTTATTGGAATAAACAGTATATAAAGCTGCATGCCTCCAACCACAATATTAAAAGAAAATCAAACTTGAGATAAAATTTGTGCCATTTGCGCCAAAAAATTTCCCTTTGCGTTATTTAGATATACCGGTTCAATACACGGTTCACTCGGTCATATAATATGTTTGTTTGTTTCATTGTACGCCTTTTCCCAACAGTATTTTAGTCATATAGGCGGGTAGTTTCCTAACCATCGTTCCTGGAGAGTTACACCAGTACTAGACAACCTTCCTCCGCGCTAAACTAACAAAAAAAAGCATCTACCGGGGTTCGAACCCACGCCAGAAAGTTTACTGGATTAAAAGTCATCGACTCTAACCCCTCGACCAGAGGCGGTATATATAGTGCAAGGTGATATTGTAGCTATAATGTTCACTGTAACTATTTATCAGAACACGAAATAGTAAAACGTTATTCAAAAAACAATACGGTAATCGATTTATACAGTTACGGAATGAAGCATCCATGCACGTAGTGTTAAGTAACGTAAATGATATTTTCCGATTTTTCTATGTACCGATTTGTTCACTTCGATGTTAATTTTTCGTTTAAGTTAAGCCGTGTTTTGAAACGGGGCATGCGCAAAACATTTTTTTGTAGACTGCTCCTAATGATTTTACGCTTAAAATGAGATTCATTCACTGCAATCAGATACGCAAAAATGGATGCCGCCAGCAATCAGTCTGAACACTATGGAGAGGTCTGATGACCTCTCCAATAAGAAAATGTATTTCGTCCAGCTAAACGAGGCAGTAATTTGTACGTGCTTGTTTTTCAAGCATCGCAACCAATTTACGAATTTTGCTGAACTAGCTTTATAGGATCAAACTATCTTACTAAAGTTTTTAAGAATTATTATGCATACGGCCAAACTTTTGAAAACTTTTTTTATCATAGACGTATGATAATAACTTTTTTTACTTTACTATTGTTTAATGCTACAAGAAAAAGCCATTTTTGTATTTACTTTAAGGTTGAAAGCTGCAGATGAGCCAAAATATTTCAACAAAATTAACCTTGAGAGTGATGTTATAACATTTTAAGAAAAGTAAAAATTATAAAAATTCAAGTAACAATTTACATTTTTCAGTATTTACAACTATATTTCTACTGCATTACTGACGCAGTAAGGGCTATTTTTGCTTCTATTTTTTGTAATTTTCGTGGAGCGTTAGTGTTATTTGCAATATGTTAATTATTTTCTTTGATCAATACACAATATTTTACTTTTTACTTACACAATACATTTTGAAACTTTTCATGGGAATAAGAACGAATCTGGAGGTATTCTGCTTTAACTTCTTTTGTGATGTTCTGTAATATAGGGTAAGGAACTTTAGGCAAATTGTTTTTTAAGTCGTAAATTAACTTAAAATTGAATAATTATAACATTTAATTTTTCCATATTCAACAATATACGTATTTAGTGGTGTAAAACCGATAAGGAAGCCATTTTGGAAAAACACGTAAAATTGTTTTCTTGTAGAAAGAAGTACAAGAAATTATTAAATACTAAACTAAGTAATTACCAAGAAAGCATTGTTAAAAAATTAAAAAGTCTAAGAGGTACAAAACCTATGGAGTACTGGTGTCTTCTCAAAATATTCGGGAGAAAGGAAAGAGGTAATGAACAAGGTTTCGTTAGAAGCATTTTATGATCATTTTCGTAATATTAATAGTGATGATGATTCTCAAGATTTATTAACAGCATTTGATATTGAATCAATTTCAGAATTTAATGATATATTAAATCGTCCATTCACTACTAAGTCTTTAGAAATTGACAAAGTTATTAAAACTTTAAAAATAACAAAGCATGTTCACCTAAAGATAATATACTGAATGAGTATATAAGATACTCAAAAGATTTGTTATTACCATTGTATTTCAGCTTATTTAATCTTGTACTTGAAACAGGAATTGTTCCAGATATATGGTGTATGGGTATAATTTTACCTATTTATAAAAATAAAGGGGACGAAAATAATGCTGATAATTATAGAGGTATAACCATATTAAGTTGTCTTGGTAAATTGTTCACATCAGTGTTAAATTCTAGAATTAATATTTTTTGGAAGAGTCTGGCCTATTAATTGAGGAACAGGTAGGGTTTCGTAATGGTTATGGAACTACGGATCATATTTTTTCCTTAAAAATGTTGATTGATATTTACTTATCGAAGAAAAAGTTATTTTATTGCTCTTTTATTGATTACAAGAAAGCATTTGATAGTATAAACCGAACTGCTTTCTGGAGGAAATTGTTAGCACATAATATTGATGGGAACATACTTAAAGTTATTCATAATATCTATGACAAGTTAAAGTGAATAATGCATTGTCAGAAACATTTGTAAGCTGTTTAGGTATGCGTCAGGGAGGAAATCTATCTCCAATTTTGCTTTTTTTATTTTCCTTAATGACTTGGTTTTTTTATATGTCTACACAATGTGAAGGGTTGCAGTTTTTATCAGACCAGGTAAATGAACAGTTAAGTAATGATGAAGTTGATGTATTCTTGAAGTTGTACTTATTACTCTATGCTGATGATACAGTTGTTTTCGCGGAAAGTCAAACTGGACTTCAAACAGCACTAAACTGCATGATTGATTATTGTTAATTATGGCATTTGACTTTTAACACTGATAAGACAAAAGTTGTTGTATTTTCTCGTGGTAAATTAAGAAATAAGCCTGTATTTTATTTCAATAATGCACCTCTAGAAGCTTGTAGATGATTTTAGTTATTTAGGTGTGACATTCAACTTTAATGGTAAATTTAATAAAACAAAAAAGCTCTTGACAAATCAAGCTAGGAAGGCTATGTTTAGTATTTTAACTAAAATAAAGAAATTGTGTTTGCCAATTGATATTCAGTTACAGTTGTTTGACAGTATGGTTAAGCCAATATTATTGTATGGGCCGGAGGTGTGAGGATTTGAAAATCATTCTATTATTTCTCAGTTTCAATTGAAATTTTATAAATATATACTTAAACTTAAGATGTCAACTCCTTCGGTTATGGTCTTGGGTGAATTAGGTGCATTTCCTATTGAAAATGATATTACTTGCAGAATGTTAAATTTTTGGAGTAAATTAGTTAATGGTAAAAATGATAAAATATGTGCTTCTTTGTACCGCATTTTGTATAATCTTCATGAAGAGGGTATTTTATATTGTCAGTGGATTGAGAAAGTAAAATCCACTTTGAATAATATTGGTTGTTCTGATTTTTGGATAACTCAGAATGTTACAAATTTAAATAATTAAATATGTAATAAAATCACGATTACGTGATCAGTTTATGGAATAGTGATGTTTTTAATTCTGCTTAGTGTTTAAATTGTTGACTATTTAAAACTCAATTTAAATAAGAACATTATTTACTATGTTTACCAAGAAATTTAGCAATTACTCTTTGTAAATTAAGATGTCTCAATTCTAATATTCCTATAGAGAAAGGTCGCTATTTTGGCATTGAAAGAGAAAATAGAACATGCTCACTTTGTAATCAGCAAGAAATAGGTGATGAATTTCACTATATTTTTAAGTGTACTTATTTTACTCATGAAAGACACAGATATATCAGTAATTATTATTCAAGCTTTCCTAGTATTTTAAATCTTCAGGCTCTAATGTGTAGACAGAAATACTTTATTTAATCTAGCCATTTTTGTCAAAGCAAAAATGCTGAAATTTCAATAAGTCATCTTCCTTACTTACTTATTTACTTCTATGCCATGTTTGTATTATTTTGTTTTGTTTTGTTTTGTTGATTTTCAAAGCAATAATGCTGAAATTTCAATAAGTCATCTTCCTGACTTACTTATTTACTTCTATGCTATGTTTGTATTATTATTTTTTGTTTTGTTGATTGTTCACTCTTATGCCCTTAAGGGCCATGAGTCTTTGTTTATAAATAAATAAAATAAAAAAGTTAACAAAGCTACAAGATTATTATGTAGAAACTTTCAATATATGTACTGTTAAAGTTTTGTCCTCGTGAGCCTTTGGCCTTCAGGATGCTTTTAAAATAAATTCTTAAACTCTTATGTTACTATATATATATTGTAGGAAAGATGGCGCTTTTCCCGTCGGTTGTTGCTATAGCATTATGCATAATCGCAAACTGTGTCATGGTAACAGGTAACTGATTTCAAATTTCTTTGATTTTATATTTGCAATAAATGTTTCTCATTTCTTAAATTTTATGTGGATTGCATTGCCTAATTCATTAAAATCACTTAAATTAATTTGTGATAAAAACATTTACACTTATACGATTTTTTTTTATATATTTATGCCAATGTTTCAATTTCAAATGTGTAACCATAACATGCGACTTGATGTAAATTACCTGTGTACTAAATTATTTTTCTCTTTAGACTGCAGTTCATACCACGTGGCATTTCTTGGTCGAACAACCATCAATTCAAACAGCATAGGGTCATTACTTTATCCGACAATGAACCCAAACCCTATTATCTCTTCTGCTGTGGAAAACTGTACATCAAGCATTACACCTACAAGTATTGCGGCAACATCGTTCACAGAGGTATCGTTAAACGCTCCATCTTGTGAACAACTTATTCCAGCCGGAAACGAGATACAGGCCACTGGTATTAAGGTGGAATCTACGGCAGACTTCATTCTACATGTGTATCAAACAGGAAGCGCAAACATGATGACGAAAGAAGGCTACCTTGCGATTCCGGATGAACATTTAGGGAATGAGTATTACGTCGTCACTTACTGTACTCTTGGTGGCTTCTGTCAGTTTGCTGTGGTCGGCATCGCTAGTGAAACACAAGTCAATATTATATTTCCAGACAATGTTACTTCATCTATGGTTTGCGTTAATGACGTTCAGGTACCGACAGATGCACCGCCTGGTTTTCCAGTTACCTTCATAATAAAAGAAAACGAAGTTATTCATTTTGAGAGTGAACATGACTTAACTGGCACGTACATTTTTGCAGACAACAACGTGGGTGTGGTTTCAGGGGCACGGGATGTTCCAACTTCACAATCTGGAAATACTTTATCTAACCTGATAGAGCAACTACCACCAGTGATGAAATGGGGTTATTCATTTGTAGCTGCTCCAAATTATTTAAACGATGCGGGAGACATTGTTAAAATTGTAACTAGCTCGACAGACACTATTGTTGGTATATCGGGCGTTTCGCCATTTAAATTACCAAATAAAGGTGAATTTATTGAATTTCGAATCGACTGGCAAATGCACAGCCATATAGAATCTTCTAAACCAATACTGATCCTGCAAATAATGTCCGTTGACTTATACAATGAATCCAGCGATGTAACAGGAGTGCCATCTATGGTACTTGTGCCACATGTTCACCAATGGACAACCGCTGACAATCCATTTTACTGCTTGTCGTCGACTATCAATCAAACTTTGATAGCTGTTGTCACAGATACGGACTCTAGCTATTCTATTCCAGTAATACCAACTCCGGATGTGTTCTTCTCGAGTTGGTCGGTCATTGAAGGGACTGACTTTAGTGTTCAAATTTTTGAACCAATTACTGCAAGCACCACAGTTTATGGACCAACTCGATCAAGCTATGGCTATTGCGATGGGAGCTCGTCTCTATTATTGAATGCTGACTGGAGCTGGAGTAACCAGGTAAATTAGTTAACCGTTTTTTGCACTAGTTTTCCAAGCCTTCCTTTCACTGAACTTAACAACTGGGCAGTTATAAACATATACACTTAAACACGAGATACAAAAAGTGGCGTACATTTGAATGTAATGTCATAAAAAAACAAAAGTGAAATAGCATTTATCTACCTTATTTCAGCCCGTTTCTCTTACATTTTCTTTTCAAATTTGAAGGTTATTTTAAATTTAAAAATAAAACGAAATGACTAAATAAAAAACGGTTGAATGTTTTCAAAAACGAATTACATTTTGTCATTAATTTAAAAGCAAATAGTGCGGATTTCGGTTAAAGCTCTACATATGATAAAATATACATGAATATTTAGGCAAAACACGTCATTCATGAAAAGGAAATACTACTTGAAAATTTATGTAAAACTTACAGATTTTGATATATGTGGAAACGGTGTATATAAAGAGGTGTGGCAGGTAATATGGCCGTAAATATACAGGTGTTTTCAATATAAACTCGGACCGTCGGATCGCACTATGAAGCGGACCGCACATTGCAATTTAACGCGAACCGCACATTGCAATATAACCCGAGCCACACATTGCAATTTAACCAAAACCGCATATTGCAATATAACGCGAGTTGCATATGAAGCATCACTACTATGCCATCAATATCCAATGAAAAGCGACGTTACAAACGTAAAGAATTTTAAAAATCAAGCTTGACTCAGTCCTCAGAATTTAAATCAAAATAAGTTCCAATATTTGCAAATGTGGTATAGTATATTTACACATATGCAAAATAATCAGTGTTAACAATAACAGTAGCAACAACAACAACAACAACAACTACAAAAAGCTATGAACACCATTACTGCTTGAATATTTTCTGTACGTAAATTTAGACATTGTTGATTTGACAGTCTTGTTTTAAAATTAGAATTAGTAAGATATCAAGATAATCCGAGAGAACAGAAAGATTTGAGATTGAAGACGAATTACATTTTTGTTTTGTTTAAATGTCCGGTAATGCAAGATTGACGAAACATGAACATTTCGAAAAAAAGTATTTTCTTGTTCCATCTTTGATAAAATTATCAATATTGTAATATCAATAATAATAATAATAATGATAATAATAATAATATTTCATGCTTTCCAGTGTTTTATTGTAATTTATTTCATGCTTTCCAGTGTTTTATTGTAATATATCAGATGTTTATATTCTGATAAACCACTAGTGAAATTTATAAAATATAATTTTCACTGTAGCCGGACTATATCTGAATGCGGATGAAAAGAAAATCATAACTGAATGGAATAACAGGCAGAAAGAAATGCCATCATTTGTAGATTTTGCTTCTTTAGGAAAAGAAAGCCGATGTCACCATACATTATGTTAAAAATGTAACAAAATTAGAAAAAATTAACAGAACTTTATTTCAAAATTGTTGATGTGACGTCATGATGTGATGACGTCACAAAGGAGAATGCGCGACGATACGCGGCAAAATCAGTAAAAATTACTTAAAATCACTTAAAACGCATGAAATAAAAAGAAAATTTATTTGTTTTACATATAAGATTGAAATATATTTCATTCGTGAACACCAGCTATTATATTTTCACTCGTGGCTACGCCACTCGTGAAAATATTGCATCAGGTGTTCACTTAGTGAAATTATATTTCAATCTTACATGCAAAACAAACAAATATCCTCTATATATCAGATGATTATATAGAGGATATTTGTTTGTTTTGCATGTAAGATGGAAATATAATTTCACTGAGTGAACACCAGATGCAATATTTATTTTGGTTTATCAGAATATAATCATCTGATATATTACAATAAAACACGGGAAAGCATGAAATAAATTCTGATAAACCACTAGTGAAATTTATCAAATATAATTTTCACTGTAGCCGGACTATATCTGAATGCGGATGAAAAGAAAATCATAACTTAATGGAATAACAGGCAGAAATAAATGCCGTCATGCGTAAATTTTGCTTCTTTAGGATAACAAAGTCGATGTCACCATACATCATGTTAAAAATGTAACAAAATGAGAGAAATTTAACAGACCTATATTTCAAAATTGATGATGTGAAGTCATGGTGTGATGACGTCACAATGGAGAATGCGCGACGTTACGCGGCAAAATCAGTAAAAAAAAATACTTAAAATCACTTAAAAAAGCATGAAATAAAAAGAAAATTTATTTGTTTTACATGTAAGATTGAAATATATTTCATTTGTGAACACCAGCTATTATAATTTCACTCGTGTCTACGCCACTCGTGAAAATATTGCATCTTGTGTTCACTCAGTGAAATTATATTTCAATCTTACATGCAAAACAAACAAATATCCTCTATATAATAATAATGATAATAATAATAATTAAAAAAAATAATAATAATAATAATAATAATAATAATAATAATAATAATAATAATAATAATAATGATAATGATAATGATAATAGAATAAATAAAAAATGTATTTTGTTTATTTTATGTATTCTTTTCTTTCTTTTTATTTAAAATAATTCCTTTAAAAAATGTTATGTAAATTTATAACATTAAAGAATCGAAATACTTTTTTTCATAAATAAATAATCAGTTGTATAACCACTACTAGGCCCTACTTAAACATTTTTTTATATTTAGTATTGAACACTTCTTTGTAAGAATAGTCAATACCCTTTCATGACATTGATTCTTCCAATCATCAGCGTCTCTCTCAGTATTTACATAGCCTGCTTTATCAATGGCATATTGGTTACCCATTATTTACCATAGACAAAAAAGGTAAAAACAGTTTTAATGTATGGTTATATTTTTGCATATTTTGTGATCATTTGTGGATTGAAAAAGTAGAAATTCGCGTTCGAATAGGTATTTCCAGCTAAAGAAAAATGAATAAATAAAAAAAGAGAAAAACAACATCAACAGAAAGAAAAAACATACAAAGTAAACTAAAAACACTTAGTAATACCAAACAACAACAACAACAAAAAGGCAAACAAAAAATTACAAAAACAAACAATAACAGCGAAAGCCTCAAAGAAACTAGGCGCTTATATTTATGAAATTATATGCATGTATTTATATATAGTTTTTATAATATACCAATTATCATATACAAGTTATGTTTAATAATGAAAAAAGAAAAAGAAGTAATAAAAAGATATGTTTTAAAAAAGCAGTGATTCTCTCGGTTAAGATTTTATTTGCGCATAATATGCAATATACGAACATTGACGAGAATGCTATTTGGGTGACAAAACCAACATAATGGGTTTGCAACCAGCATGGATCCAAACCAGCCTGCGCATCCGCGCATTCTGATCAGGATCCATGCTGTTCGCTTACAAATCTTATAACAAGTAGAGAAACTGATAGCGAACAGCATGGATCCTGATCAGACTGCGCGGATGCGCAGGCTGGCCTGGATCCATGCTGGTCGCAAACCCATTATGTTGGTTTTGTTGTGACGAGGCTCCTAAAATTGTATCACGTATATTGATTGCGTACAAGACCAGAATAATTATTAAAATAAATAAATAAAATGAAATAAAATGAAATTAATAAATGAATGAATGAATGAATGAATGAATGAATGAATGAATGAATAAATAAATAAATAAATAAATAAATAAATAAATAAATAAATAAATAAATAAATAAATAAATAAATAAATAAATAAATAAATTATAGATAACTAAATAAATAAAAATGAATACAAGACAAAAATACAGAGGATGTTCAAATAATAGCAAACACATTGATCATTTTGTTCTTTCAAGATTTAGTTAATTCAATGTTAATTATAATACCAATTTTCAAGAATGTTATTGTTTGACGTCATAAAAGATAAAATTACTGTTGCATAGACTCTATAATATAAATATAATATTGTACTAACAAAGACTTTTATAGTAGGTACTTCGTATGTAAACGTCATGATAAAAGGTTAACATTCAAAGTTCTTTTTACTTGCTCACTTGAAATAAATGTTTCATGATATATTTAAGCGAATGATATTACAGAAAATGGTACGGTCTGGTTTACAGACAGCTATAAAGATCTTAAAATATTTTGGATTTAACTCACTACAGAGTTGGAGCAGTACCTACACCGTAGACGCTAGCAGAAATCATGATCAAAAAGCAAAAACAATATAGCCTTTTTCGCTTGGTCATACAATTTTTCATTCATTATCTATGGTGGCATATATTTCTGCCACCAGATAACCATATAACTAACTAGTGAATTAAGAGGTTAACAAGTTACGTAACTAGTTAACCTCTTTACGTAACTAGTTAACATCTTAATTAACTAGTAAGTTATATGGTTATCTGGTGACAGAAGTATGCCGCCATAATAATCGTATATAAATCGGTGTGAAGAGCTGAATAAGATGTTTTAAAGTTCATTCCGTTGGGTGAAAAGGCAAGATTCGCCGTAATTATACCGGAATACAGAATTTAGTGTAGTGCTCAAACTCTTTTTTATAGTCTCACTCAAATATTATGACATCATATTTTCAGGCATGCGTATCATCTGTTGTGTCACCTGGAGATAACGTGGATAATGATTGTGACGGTGATATTGATGAAGATAATTGTATAGCTGAAGATCTTGGTATTCTCACAAACCTTTGTCATTACTTTTTTTGTATCTTATTGTGAGTAGTAATACACTCACATGCAATCTGTAGACATGTAAATTATGTGAACTTACTTCATTTTTCACATAAACCACGGCGCAGGAGTGTAATATATAGAGGATATTGTATGAGTGTAGTTTAATACTAAATTTGTTGAACGAGTTGAATAAAATCATATTATGCGAATCTCTGACGAGCATAATATTGTTTTATTCAACGAGTTCAATAAATTTAGTATTGAATCTACACGAATATAATATTCTATTTATCATTTATATAAAATAAGAACAGTAAACTGTTAAAATGAGTAATTTTTCAGTGACGCCATTGCGTTGCGTTAAACGCGCTAATATTATCGTAAGGCCATGGGACAATGAAAAATCACGCCTTTTAACTGTTAACCGTCGTTAGTTTTGGCTATGCGAAAAATACATTGTAGATTCAATACTAAATTTATTGAACTCGTTGAATATGACAATGTTATGCCCGCCAGAGGCTCGCAAAATATGATTTTATTCAATACTTAATAAATTTAGTATTTAATCCACACTCATTCAATATCCTCTATGTATAACATGCTCACATATGACCTGAAAAAACGTGTTGTTTATGAGTGAGATTCGGAATTACTTGGCTGATAAGGTTACAAATAGTGTAAAAGGTGTATAATTTAATGGCTATTGTGACAGTATTTGATCACTTATTTGAATTTATTATCAAATACTTTATTTTAACATACATTTACATTTTTATATGTATCTTTTGATATACATACGGTGGCACAAATGTGACATGTGTGTGTTTTTATTTATCTCGTGGCCACGAGATACTATGTCGTGGCCACGAGTTACTAAGTCGTGGCCACGAGTTAGCTAACTCGTGGCTACGAGATAAATAACCAGTCAGATTACATCATTTATGTGAATTTCCCTTATTAACTAGTACAAGGATGCCCCTGCTTTACCAGCCTGTTAAGGTGCCATATATACAACTTATTGACTTGTCAATAATTTTTTATTTAGCGTCACTGTGACCCTGATTTTTGAAATTATTAGATGTCATCTACTGATCAGGTGCAATGATCTTTCTGGGTTATATAAACCATGGCTTATTCCTTCTAAATTATTCATCAGACAAGGATTTTACCTTATAGGCTATCTACTGTCCATGGGCAATGTCCCTTACAAATAAAATAAACCAGGACTTATTCCTTCTCATGTTATCGTATAAACAAGGTTTACAGGCCGTAGTACGTACAAACTGACCAATTTGATCACAAAATTGTCCCCACAAAGGGCTGTAAGTTAGTCACAATTAAAGTCTGATTTATGGGCCTTGGAAGGTGACTTTCTAATATGATCCTTAAGACATGTGTCAAGTTTAAAGTGAATATCTTCAGTATTTTTAAAGATTAATGTCGCATGTAAAACTTTAAACAGAAAGTGTTCTAAGTTTAAAAAAGTCATATATATAAACATAGTGTAATCTGATTGGTTAATTATCTCGTGGCCACGACTTAGCTATCTCGTGGTCACGACTTAGTAACTCGTGGCCACGACATAGTATCTCGTGGCCACGAGAGAGCTATCTCGTTCCCACGACTTAGTAACTCGTGGCCACGACATAGTATCTCGTGGCCACGAGTTAGCTATCTCGTGGCCACGACTTAGTAACTCGTGGCCACGACATAGTATCTCGTGGCCACGAGATAAATAAAAACACACACATGTCACCTTTGTGCCACCGTATATACACGCATTTTGGCATCTGTTTTTAAGGTTGTGATTTTCTATTATTTTTTTCTGACCTTCATTTTTTTAGTATTCGATTTATTTTTTTTATTTTAGTGACTGTTTTTACGTCGACACAGGATGAAGAAAGCGGTAACGTAACATACAAGACCATGACATTAAACGGAACAAATTATGTTAAAATTAATATCATTTCTTGTGATGTTGCAAGGATAAGACTTGAAATAGATAAAGAACTTCCCCAAACAATGAATATAGAGGTAAGTAACACAACAATTATTGAATAGTCGATTATCAATTTTTAAATGACATATTCAGAGCTACAAGGTATTTAAGTAGGGGCCTCTGTAGCAAGATAATTAAGGAATAACCTGCCTGTATCCTGTCGTACCCCAACCATTCACCGCCATGGTTCAAATCTCGCCAAGGACTTTGTTTTATTTTACGTGAGGAAGCTACCTTATAGAAGGACGGTAGTTCTACTAAGCTGCAAGTTCGTGCCTGATTAATAATATCTGTCATATGTTATGGCTCGGATCAGAATATCCGTCCGTCCCAAGGGTACACCGACTATTGGGCTGTAACGAGGCTTGACGAGTTGTCGTCCATTGGCAGGAACCCGAGAGACTAATATTCCGATCTGAATTGCAAACACGTGAATTTTTTTTCGTGCATATTCTACCATATTCTATCACATTTTAAATGGTTTACCTCAATAACATATTGTTCATGGAAATTAATGTCACTTATCTCTTACTACATGTATTTCCTTTCAAAAGCTATGAATTTACAATTGTATTCTTAACGGCGAAATGACGCCATCCTAGGCACGAACTTTCATTCTTGAATACGCCTAAATGACGTCATTCGTTCATTTATTAAGATGCGCTAAAATGACGCCATTCTATACTACCCGACTTATCTAGTACCACCATGCCAGATGAAATTTCTAGCATGGGTAAAATTAACCAGTCTGATATGCAAGAAAATATACATGAAGGGTCACCGAAAGTTTCATCCACCAAGTAATGTTCGGAAGTAGTGCTCAATATGACCATATTATTGGCGGTCTGACTTAAAGATAAAAAAACAACGATTGTTTTTATGTCTTTAAGTGCTCCTACAAACATTAATACTAAGGTACTCCTAATATTTTACATCACAATCAACATAGAATGATAAGAATTCTTGAACAATCATTCACCAATTCTTACGTAATTCATGATGACGTCATTTCTTTGTTTCAGATATCAATATCTGCTATCGTTGTACAATTGTGTGGAGATTTTTGTTTAGAGGCGATAGTACAAGCACAAAGTGTGTCAAATTGCTCTGCACCGCAGTCTTACATGTTGCAATGGAACAACTATTTAACTTTGGTATTCTTACTTTATCACTATAATTGTTAACAAATAACATGCAGTGAAATCTGTGAACAGAAACCCCTTTTGGGAGAAAAAAGATTTGGTAGTTGCATAGAGGTGCTGCTAAAATTTATTTTGAATGTTTACTTTTGGAAGAAATATTACTTATTTTAGAAAAAATAGCATACCTGACCATTTCTGAAGAACACGGTTTTTTTGGGTTGTTTGCTAAGGGGTGATGCTTAAATCTATTGTGACTGTTTACTTTTGGAAAAAATAATACTTATTTCAGACAAAAAAGCATACCTTGCAATTTCTGAAGAACAACGTTTTGTTTGGTTGTTTGCTAAGGAATGATGCTTAAATTTATTGTGAATGTTTATTTATAGAAGACATAATAGTTGTTTAAAGAGGCAATTGCTCTACAGAAGGCCACTCTGTTGAGGTTGTACTGTAGTATAAATTTTACTAATTTGAAAACACTCAAATTTTCATTTAATTAAATAGGTCATTAAACACGACAAAATTTTATTCCTGCATTTTTGCAATATATATTAATGAGTTAATTATTTTTGATGTCAATAATTGTTCAAGACCCGGTGTGAACATGTAAGTGATGTAAGTCAATTGTAGGTTTAAGCCGTATGGTTAGGGTCATTGACATCAAACATGTTGTGAGGTTGAATCCCGCCTTGAACTTTGGGTTCTTTCATGTAAGGAAAGTATCCAGCTGGCATATGTACAGAGCGTCGGTGGTTCTACTCAAGTGCCCGTGTGTGTCTGAAATGATGTTTCGAGGAGCTCATGAGGTCTTCCTCCATTAGTAAACCTGGAGACTCGTCATATGACGCCTTGCATGTTGGTGCGACCTAAAAACCCAACAATTCAACGAACAAACAATACAAAAATGTACACGTAGCGTAAATGCAAAATCACAATATGCCGCTTTAATGGGTCGAAAAGATAAAATGTATGAGCACACATTGTTCACAGCTTATAAAAAATATACGTTGTTTTTCTTTTAAGCATACGACCACCTCAACGTATACTTTCTATGACAATATTCCACTGGCAAACGACTATGACAAACTAATGTTGTCAGCACTCGGAAAATCAGCCACTTTTGAAATATGTAAGTGTTTACAATCATTATGATTATATCACTTTGGTGTCAATGATGTAACAGTGTTTTTCAGTTATAAACTGCTTCATTGTTTTACATTAGCTAAAAATACGTACTCGCTGATAATACAACATTCTAATACAAAATATATCTGCCCATGTTTATACGTTTAGTAACAGTAATGAACTTCCACTGTGTCATCAAAAATGAATTTACATTACAATAGTTTGTTAATCACTTTAATTCTAGTAATAATTACGTATTATCTGTAGAAAAGATTTTGTCAATAAAGAAGATATTGGTTTAACACAGTTCTGAAAAATATATTTTTAGTCCCGTCGTGTCAGAAAGCCTCAATGGAGGCCCTTTTATATTTGTTGAAAGTAAATTGAAATCTGTCTTTTATTAATTTAGTTTTAGCGGAAAAGGACTGCAAAAAAATAATTCAAGGTAATGTATATCACTTCAACTTCTTTTTTTTTTATAAAACTGTACAGTATTACAAGTATCTAATATATATGGAAACATAAAATGTTGCTTAATCAAATTGTTCATTTACATGCAAACATTTAAATTGTAAGTAAATGGATTTGACATATAAAATGATATACATAAATATTAAATGAGGTAATTCTCATTTCAGCACATTTGACAGGACGTAAAAATCATTTATGTTCCTGTAGATGCAATTTGCAAAGTTGCGGGATAAATCTAGCTGTATTAAAGCGGTCTTAAGCTTTTCTAAGATTGAAATATTTTTTTAGATAAATCGTTTTATATAATTGTCTTATCAAACGAATTAAGGTGGCCATCGATAAAATAATAAACAATAATAAAACCCTTCGATCCTTTTAATCTACCGGTCCGCTCTCTATATGCGGACGATTCCTTTCCCGATCTTCTATTTTTAGAAAGGAACGTCACTGGTGCCCTATAAATAACTCTCGGGACGCTGTTTTGAAGACAACATATCAGAGACATGATGCACATTCCAAAGATATAATTATTGAAATACTAAGTTTGAATCAACACAGGATTTTTCAAACGAACAAAAAAAAATGAATGCTGAAGGCCGCTTTAAAACTACAGCAGCTGATACAATTGAAAGTTATCATAGCATTATATTGTTTACAAATGAACATCAAGTAATCTGCAGATATCATTTATAAATTAAAAGTTTAATATCAGTCGATGACATATACTTATTTAACAGTCAAAAACAAGTACGTTATACCAATGGAATGATGTAACCGTTAAAACTTGTGAAAAGAGATGCAAAAATAAATATATGATCTTAGACACTTTTAAGTATCAAAATAAATGCACTTTTCCATATCTTCAACGGTATCGACGGCAAAGTAAGGTGAAGACAACAAAGACTAGGACTACGGCAATGATAGTGGTTGTGAGCTCGGTGCCAGGTTTTTATGCCACAACTGAATATACCTCTAATGTTGACGGCAAATAAAATGTCAAGATAATTATTACTCGATGAATCCGATGATAACTGTATATGATGATAATGACAATGATAACGATTATGAGAATGATTGTGATGATAATTGTGATAATGTTTATGACGACTTTGATGATGTTGATGCTATTGCAATTTGACATATTGAAATGAATTTTAACATTATTTTAGGTGCTCCGGACACGCAAGGTTCAAACTTCATTCTCCCTGTTCATAACACTGACACTGGGTTCATTGCAATGCTGTCAACGAGTGGAGATGTAATTGGTACAGTCAAGATCCAACTAGACGTTTCTAGTTCTCTTACTCCAATAGAAATGCTGGCAAATGAAACGAAGCAAATATATAACACAGATATTACAGAAGCTACCTATAGCAAAGTGAGTTCACTCTTTTGTAGGCAAATATAGTAAATCTTTTATCCCCAAAATTGTTATGTTGCTATAAAGTTGTTACATTTGCAAATATATATCTACGTTTTAGTGTTAAATGAGGGAAAAGTAGTTTTACAATTTAAGATTTTTTTGTATTTTCAAAATTGGGATGGTAAAACTCACATTTTTTGTTTGGCACAATTGTTCAGAATCACATCTTGATAATCATCATTTGTTTATAAAACCACCTTTTTTGTTTTGGATTCATTCCTGTTTAAATCGACCTTTTTATTTTAAATGTATTTGCCTTTGCTTTGTTTTTATTTCTAAACCAAACCTATAATATTATCAATTTTGTCGTTTTGGGCGTTCTTTAATATTTCGGTTTTTCACTATTCTGCTCTCTCATCAGCGTTATTTGTGCGGTGTGGATGCCGTAAAACCGCCGCCCGTACATTTAATTAAAGATGTTATATTTATGATCCTTATAGATCGTTCAACGCAACGTAATTGCTGTGTGTGCATGTGTGTGGTATTTTAGTTCCTTCTTTTCGAACCTATTCTAAATGACTAGTTCGAGTATTCTTACTTGAATACTGTAAAATCAAGCTTAGGATATATGGCCTGTTTTTAAAGTGATATGCAGGCTTCATACCCCTAATCCTTTTAAAATTCCATTTTATTTAGTTCCTCCAATTGTTTTTTTTTCGTTTAGGGCACACGCATTTTACATGGGTCGCTATGTCACGAACGTGAAGGTTCCGTGATAACCTACGTATGAAGACATCTGCAGATGTTTCTGAATACAAAAATTCACCATTGTCTTGTTTAAATAATAAATTCTGTTAAATCGGTGCTAGGGTGGTAACTAGTAATCACTTTCCAGTACCACCCTCGAAGAAGCTCAATCACATCAAGCCTGCAAAAAGTTCATTTATTTTGT